ACCAAGATGGCAGCTGGTCATAAAATACTAACCAAATGCTGTGTCCAACCTTTACGTACAGTCTGTGGTTAAGATGAACATAAACACTTGAAATTGTGCTACTAGTTTGCAGTGTTGTTACAGCTTATTATGATGGCAGTGTGATGATACTAAGTGCATGCTTCCAGCCAAAACTAATGGGCTTTGTTGTCTAACTATATACAGCTAAGTATTGCCTAATTAGTCCTAGCTAACTAACTAACTAGGAAATGCTTAGAGATGAGTGTGTTCATATTGTCGTTTTGGTTTAGAAAAACCAAACCAAACCGATGTGATGAAGGGGGGCAGGTATGACTGTGAAACAGGTTGCTCATTGGCTATTGCAGTTTCTGTTGAGATTGCAGATGGGGGGGGCAACAGCATGGACCCACTGCCTAACCTGCCGAGTACTCGTTGCTCATCGTAATATGTGGAATAGTGTTTTGTTTGTCATGGTCTTAATGCTGCAACCACATTAAGTACTGCTGACCATGTTCGCTACTTTGTGGCGACAGTTTAACATCAGCTGCTGTTTCATGCCACAAGGCAAAGTTATTATATTTTCATAAGCTCAAGAGGAAAATATGTGGACTTCAGGGCCCTCCCAACGTATTGTATCTGAATCCACTACAAAACCTTTGACGTAAGTTAAAAAAGAGCCTCGCCAGCATGAGTACAGCTGCTGACAAATCTGAAGAAATGGTGTGATGCATTCCTCCCACCACGGAGGCGAATTATGCACCGGCTCATGCAACACAGTGTTCCATCATCCCTTTATACTCGAAAGTGTGAAAATATTGGAAACAAAGACTGTATATAAAAGACTGAGATAACATGGCTGAAAAGTGCAGCTAGTGCTGCAGTGCCTTAAAGCCTGGTCCAGTTAGAAAGAAGTTCATCTAAATATGTACGGTGGGACCAGAGTTATCTCAGGTAATAACACTGTTAAATGCAGACAATAAAAGACATCATGGAGAAGCAAGAATGATGTAAACGTGTTCCCATCTGACCAGTTGTATTATCACTAGCAGTACTTTCATGTTAACCAGTTTAAACACGTTGGGAGTTTTACTGTGTAAAATGAGTCCTTGCCGCTCAGTTTTCATATCCATGGACATTTTAAAAGCTAATTATAGAAACAGAATAAAGTTAACATTAAACTACCAACAGAGTGGTCTAGAACGTTCTCCTCCCTCTCTGATGTAGCACATGCAAATTGTTATAGATCTTGATGTCACCGTTCTCTGACGTAAGGCAGCGTTGCAAGCATATCGTGAAACAAACAGGGAAGAGATACTATTGAGGTCATGAGGATGCTGAGTCATCTCTCTGCTTCTCTGAGCTCTTTGGTTCTTTAAGATGGGAGAGCGAGAGAGAGGAGACTGTTAGTGTGATAATGTGTCTCCGTCATTCTGAGAGTTTCACCTGATGGGATTTTGTACAATAACGTAACATTTTATTTATTGAATTTTATTGTTTTATTTATATTTTGATATTGCTAGGGATGATGCAATGATCGGGGACCATTCTTCATTTCGTTGTTCTCGTGACAATGACAATAAAGTTTCTGACTGATCTGATTATTGTGCAATTTCCATTCCACTTATCCATTAAAATGATCCTAGTTACAGGGCCTTACAACTGTGTTCTTTTGACTGAAGTTTTGATCCCTTGTAACGTCTACGTACAGGAGGCGGGTATACAAGGTTTTCAAACAAATTTAAGCTCTGTTTAAATCTACGGGGAAACAAACGTTACATCCACTGCAAGTGCCAGAAATGAAGGCCTGTTTTCCATGACTGACCTTGAGCATCATTCTTATGAGATGTATCACAGCAAAACTGCTTTTGTGATCCTGGATGGATTTGTGTCTGGTTTTGTCCGTGTGACTCCTGACAGGATCTGTTTTCGATCGTTTATTTGAGGAAAATTGGATAGTGCTCTTTCTGTATATTTAAAGGGTCATATCACCATGTGGTATAGACGGCTGATCAAAACTATTACAGCATTTGTAATGTGTTTTATTGGGTTTTAAAAATGTCCTTTGAGTGCTCGTTCTTGCTAAAGCCAAAAGAGAGATTGGCTTTATGATGTGTGCCCAAGTCTTCTACTTAAGAAGTTATGAGAGATTAAAAATGATGAAAGTATGTAGCTAGCTATGTACAAGAAAAAGGCACATCATTTTCATGGCTGCATCAGATATGTTTAAGTTAAAAAAAAAATCAGCTGATTCAGTGGGAGTCGGGTAGGAGGCGCTCGCTGAATGACATTTGCTTTTGTATATGACAGAAAGTGTTTTTACTGTGAAGTTAGATGAAATGCTGGGTGTTGCATTTACAAGTTGGCTATTAGAGTCCTTTGAGATGTCGATTATACTCCAAAATGAGCATAATGTGAAATCCTAAATTTACAAGCTAGTTTCCTCTGTGCTCAGATGCTCCACTCTGATTATGAAAAATTCCTCACAAAACATTTCATAGAGAAAAAGTCTTCGAAACTTCAGAAAAAACAACCGAATAGGCGTCTGTCATCCACGAAGGCCATGTGACGAGTGAGTCAGCACTGAAGCCGTGGCAATCAAGGCTGCAACAATATAACTGGGAGCAGGTGAAGGTCTAGCTGGCTGCAGAAAACCAAGTGAGGCTAAATATGTCTCCCCCCAAGATTTCAGAGTGAGTGCACAAGTATTTCCAATCCGTTTCTAGTTTGTGTGTAAATGCTTCATCGTAGACTGCTATAAAAATGCATCTGTAGTGCATGTTCTTCTACATGAGAACAACAGCCAAATGAATGAACAGAATGAACAGTTCAGTTAGAAAAGCAAACAAACTATGAGACATTACTCCTCTTGGGGTTCCCTTTAGCCCCTGGAGTATTCGCTCTGAAAAACAGACGTTAAACAGAATTCCATAAAAAGGAAAGGAAGAGAGGCTGGGACTGGAAAGTAGGAGGAAGAGGGAAGAAAATCTCTGAGAATACAGCCTGTAGACAGAGAAGTGCAACACTGAGGAGTAAGTCTTTCAGTTAAATACAGTATTAAATCAAATGTTAAATACAGCAAAGGCAAATCATCCCTGATGACAGTTCTGGCAGTATGCACTCAAAACGCTCACGCCAAGAATGTAACTTATAAAAATAAAAAGGTCAAAAGGTTACAAAATGAATACGGTGTTGTTTGTTTTGCATTTTTTGTTTACTAAATTCTTTATCTTTCAATTATCTGGGAATTAGAAAGAGCAAAGCTGCTTATCAGCTCGCTAAGTTAGCATGCGGTTTCCCCTCTGACCTTTTATCATTATGAATAAGTGTACTGACAGCACAGGAAGGGAAAATTATACATGCTAAAATATGGAAAAGTTCATAACACAGTCTGAATGCAACATGGCTGCTGCAGACAAGACATTAGTGTGTGCAAGAAGAACAGCACTGCACAGAAGTCTAGTATTAAAAGCACTGCATGAGTATTCAAGGAAGGAAAGTCAGAAAAAAGTACTTAACAGATTTTGTCCAACTCTATCAGTAGGACAACAACCTATAATTAAATATTTAAGACAGTTTTAGTTAATATTCTTTCAGCTGCAATCCTGGTGGCATTTAACAGTCAGAGCGCAGGTAATGAATTAAAAAGCAGAATCCAAAGGGAGGCCCAGTCTCTGCAACAAGTACAAATAAGTGTCCTTTTTTAAAATCATGATGCTTATCAATAAAAAAGCAGATGGAAATGTCTCATAGTAACCATTTTTAATAATAATCTAATGACTGTGCTGTGTAAGCTTCTGCCTCTGAAGTGTGTCTGCAGTTATAACTCTTTCTAACTTCCACATGAGGGAGTTCCTAACCACACTCAGCTCATTAAGGAACCAACAACATCTCATTTTTTTAGTTTGATCAGTGGAAATAAACACAATCCACACTCCTCAGTTTGTGGCCTTCCACGCCACAGCTTCTATTGACTGCAAAGACTTTACTGGGAAGATCGACAGGATCAGGTCATTGTTCAGGTCGGTGCCCTTTCAACCCAGGTCTCTCATTCAGTTCTGTTGTCTGAGTCTGATTTTCCTGACAGATTTTGGCTAGTTGAGGTAAACCGTATGTTTGGTAAACTCCAATCTGGTTGCAGACAAAGCCACACCACGGAAACAGCTTCAGTAAAAATGACCTATTTGCTTGGATGAAGATGAACATTTATTTTAGTCCTGCTTGACTTATCTGCAGAGAGAGATGGATATAACCCTCAGGCTATTCACTTAACACTCTTACCTTTGCTATGTAGACGACACACAGCTTTACTTTTCTCAGCAGCTTCTCATACCTCAGCGAACCCCTCTCTCTGCTCCATCTCAGTGTCAGTAAAGCTGATGTTCTCGTGTTCGACGCTTTCTCTAACGAGGTCAGTCAGTACATTGCCCCCCTTTCCAGCGACATCAAAACATTTGCCAAGAACCTTGTTATCATGTTTCACCAATACTGAATTTTGAATCTGAGATTTCTAAGCTCACCCAGTCTGGCTTTCTCCACCTCAGAAACATTGCAAAGCAAATCTTTCCTGTCATTCGGGCATCTGGAACCTTTAGCAAACACCTTCACTTTCCTTTGCCATGATTATCATAGCTGGCTTTTCACATCTCTGAGTCCTGCATAGAATCAGCTTTACAGTTAATTTTTTTTACGATAGTATTTTTTAACACAGGTATCTGTACTTCTACTCAAGTAAAGATGTGTATTTTTGCCTCCTCTGTGAGCTTTACATTTTGAATAATTGCCACATAACTATTCAATTCACAAAGATTTTCTATTTTGAATATGATCCTAATGATATTTGTTATCACTGCTTAAAAACACTTTCAAAGGGAACAAGTGCTAATACAGTATGTGTGTGTGTGCATGTGTGTATGTGCATGTGTGTGTGTGCGTGTGTGTGTGCGCGTGTGTGTGTGTGCATGCATGCAAGGGCGTAACTGGATGCTGATAAGCCAGCTGGAGGGCCAAACTGATAAGCAGTCATATGTTACACCATACAGTACATGTATGCAAGTATGTTATTCATAATCACGTTATGTAAAATGTACATATACACAGTAATACTACAAATACATGACTCTAACCTTTCTCTATGATACAGTTTGTAGTATCACTACATTAAAGCACAAGTTGTACTACAGGCATAAAGCTTTACTTGTAAAAGTTTTGTAACATTTCTTTTTGTGAATAAAAAGGACGTGGTTGCCCTGCGCCCCCATCTCTTCTCTGGAGATAGACAGAAAAGGTGGGGCTAAAGGGAAGCCAGACTGGAGGGGCACACGCTGTATGATAGTTTCTTATCCACCACACTCATTGGAAACAATGTTTATCGGCTAAATCTGAACAGCGTTTTTGCTTTGTTGTTATTGGTTTCTTTTAGTAGCTTGTTTTTTAGTAACATCGCAGACTTTCACAGGTTCCGATGTGTCCACGCAGGCAGTGAACCTGGTAAGAAATATTTGTTACAGGAATATTTGTTGCTTAACAGACAAAAAGCTGAGTTCTGAACCTATAATGTGCATTTGTAGGTGAAACTGTTGCCTGGGCAGAGCCTAAGAGACTTTACAATAACCAAAGCAAAGTAAATAAGACGAGTATGGTAAACAATGAGAAGGAAAAAGATTGAGCGGTTGAGACGTTTGCAGGTGACACCTTTTTCCAGATCTGTGCTTGTCTAAGATCTACTACACATAAGCTTTTTTTTTAACCATAAGAAAATGTCAATGATTTGGAATTATTTCAGGAACTACATGAACACGTGTGTGGGATTTGTTGTGTCATCAGCCTGCTTGCTTTCCCTCATGATTCCTGTTCTTACTCCTATTTCCAGGAGATTTTGGATTCTCTTTGTGGGCTTAGTTGGATTTTGTGTTTGTGGGGTTAATGCAATCCAAAATACATCTTTGGATCTTTTTGTTAATCATGTCTGCCTCCATGGCTTTCTGTTGGTATGTTTAAAAAAACTTCACGCAATCTGTAATATAATCCAAAATACCACTAAAAAGATTATATGAGTGTTACAATTACTGGTGTTAATAGAATAATTATTAGGTTTAATGTAAGATACATATATAATTCTTAAGACTATTCTGAATTAGACAAACAGGTGTTTTAAATAAAGGTACATTTGTCACGGTTTGTCTGGCCAGACTCAAATGCAGGACTGAGATTATTTAGTGTTGGTGCAGACAGTACTCTATACAAAGTCCTATTTGTACAAAATTCCCTGGAAGGAAGGTCGGTGAATCCGAGTTCCCGATCCTCTGAGTCTCTCGAGAATCCGCCAAGCAACAAACACTTTCTCCAAACTCCACTGGGCCGTCCTGCCACAGGAAGAGACGCATTAAACTCTTTAGCCAGTAAACTGAAACAGAGCCTTGCAGAGAGACACAGTGCAGACGACTACAGTTAGACAACACTCAGGCAAAGACTGAAGGTCAGGTCCCAGCTTAAGTAGCAAACAGCTGAGTGCCAGCTGAGCCACAGGTGCTTGATTGATTCAGGTGCAGAGGGCGGAGCTTCCAGGAGGATCCCGCCTCTGTGAGGCCGGTAAAAACACCCACACACAGAGCAACAAGCACAATATCAGACGCAGAGACAAAGAGAGATGGTGGAGACGCACAGGAGGACCATGACAAAACTTTCAACTAAATAATAATTAGTTTATGATAGAAAACACGTGCGTAACTTTCACAACTCATAGGCCCTGTTAAAGCGTAGTCATGCTAAAGGTTAGAAAACAACCCTTCACAGCCTAACTGCCTATAATAAGACAACAGTAGATGTGTGTGTGGCATTTGCATTAACTAATACAGATGAGGCATGCACGTAGTATGACACACATTTCTTCCTGCTCTGTTTCACGTCCACTTCTGCTGGAGGAGTCTCTCTATCCTCTTAACCTAATATTGATGTTAATGTTGCAGCCTCTGAAAAAATAGATCATTTCTTAGATCATTACTGTCCCAACAGTGGAGTTCAAGGATGACATGGATTCTGTTTTGTTTCAGGTTGAAGCCACATTATGACTGAATTAGAAGCCATGGGGGCAGGGACGCCTCCACCCTACATAATGTTTCTGGTGGTCTTCCTTTTCTTTCTTACGGGACTGCTGGGCTTCCTAATCTGCCACCTCTTGAAGAAGAAGGGCTATCACTGTCGAACAGACGTGGGGGATGAGGAGGAGGAGGAGGAGGAGAAGCTAGGAGAAAATGCAGATGGTGGGTTGGAGAGAAAAGGCTAATCAAGGAAGACAAAGTAAAATAAGGTTTCAGTTAGCCATACTGGCATTATTGTGCATGTGACAATTACATATACATTTGTAATAGATTACTATTAGAGTACTATGAGTAATGTATATGATCCAATTTTATTTGTATAGCAAGAAATCACAGCAACAGTTGCATTAAGGCGCTTTATATTGTAAGATAAAGACTCTACAATAATACAGAGCGAACAGAAACATTTTGCTGTGTGTGACAGTGTCTGTCAGTAACATAAATAGAGGATTAAAGCTGCATTCATTTATTTAACCACAACAATGACAAACAGTGGGCTATTGTTAGCTTGCTAACACATCTATCGTAGTGGCTGTGCTCGTGTGCTTGTCATGTCACAGATGTGCACGTTAAAGCAGATGACTCGTAAGCTGGAGAGGAAATAGCGTCTCGCTAATTTCAAAGATCATCATTTAGCCTAGAACTAGAACATCTTACTGGTAATCAGTGATTGTAGCCAGGCTGAAAGTCAGAGCTCTGTTGAGCAAAGCTTTCCTTTCATGAATGTTTTAATTGTTCATAACCATCTCGCAGATGTATCACTACCTGCAGCTGCTTTCAATACTTGATATTTATTTACATTTTTCGCTCCAGTTGTTCTGAGTTAACCTCAAAAAATCTTTTCCTTAATAAATGAACTCGTCTGTTAGTCCAAATACCGACACGTACCACAGGACTTTAGGCTGGCAGTAGTTAAACTGTTACTTAAACAGCCATCGCTTGACGCAGCTGTCTTCGCTAAATGTAGGCATATCTCCAACCTTCCTTTTATCTAGAAGATTCTTGAAAGAGTAGTTGTAAGCAGCTAACAGATCATCTGCAGAGGTTCATTTGAAGACTTTCAGTCAGGTTTCAAATTCACAGCACAGAAACAGCTTTAGTGAAGGTTACAGATGATCTTATGATCTCTGCGGGGGACTCATCTCTGCGCTAGACCCCAGCACAATATTTTATTACAGATATTATAGTATGTGCTGCACATATTAAGGCACTGCAGTGGTTTGGTTAGTAGCTAGTCTATTACATAACTATCTAATAGACTCCAATTGGTTCACGGGGAGTCTTCATAACACAATAAGGCTGGAATGATAAAGTTCCACAGCGTTCTGTGGAAATGTTGTTTTTCATTCACCTTTTCCACCCACAATGTGTTTATACACCTCTCTGCATGTAGACATTTGTTATCATTAATCTCTTGTCTCTTCTTCCTCTCCACCCCAACCAGTCGTGGCAGATAGATGCCCCTCCCTGAGCCTGGTTCTGCTGGAAGTTTCTTCCTGTTAAACGGGTGTTTTTCCTTCCCACTGTTTGGGTTGTTGTGTTTTCTCTTTCTTTGTATTGTTGCAGGGTCTTTACCGTGCAATATGAAGCGCACTGATGCAACTGTTGTTTTGAGTTTGCGCTACATAATTAAAAATAAGTTGAATTCTAAATAGTTCCCATTGCTATTAGAAACCATAGCAGACATTTTCACTGCTATGCAGATGATACCCAGCTTCAGATAACACACACCAAAGAGACAAAGACCTGGATGACCTCTAATTTCCTGCTTCTTAATTCAGATAAAACTGAGGTTATTGCACTCGACCCAAAATAAAACAGGAAACATGAGACAGGCAGAGAGAAAAACCCAGAGACTGAGATTATACACAGGCCAACTTAAGGAATATCCAAAACCCTGAATAACAATAATCGAAGAATATAAATTAATCAACAAACGCAAAACACTGAGTCACAGACCCGTGACAGTAAATTTAAAATGAGAAACATTCGGTCTTAGCGTGAAGCTGAGATGCCAGTCGTGTAGCTTAACAGATAGTAGAGCAGACCATCCGCTAATCGGAAAGTTGGCGGTTTGATCCCTGGCTGCTCGAGTCTGCGTGCCAAGTGTCCTTGGGCAAGATACTGAACACAAGTTGCTCGCCGATGGATCCATCGAAGTATGTGTGTGAATGTTAGATAGAAAGCAGTTAAGCATAGAAAAGCGCTGTATAACAACCAGTTCATTTACCACTTGCATTTGTTACTTGTAGTTTGACTACTGTAATTCATCATAATTATTATTACCTAAAAACTCCCAGAAAATCCTTCAGTTGATCCAAATGCTGCAGTGGGAGCAGACGGGGACTAGAAAGAGAGCAGTTTTACTGGCTTCCCTTCATTTCCTCTGGGATGAATTCCATGTTATCTTAAAGGCCTCAGTGTAGCATAGTACCTCGTTAGAGCGCACTTTACTTGTGGTAAAAAGTAGGATGGGAGGCAGAGCCTTCAACTTCCAGGTCCCTGTTCTGACAATGAAAATAAAATGTTAAGATTAGTCTTAAAGCTTTCCGTTTTGGGTCTGGATCAGCTGACCTTGAACACTCCCTGCGTTATACTGCAATAAGCGGTGTGCAAATAAAACTGAAGTGACGTGAATCACGTGCCTCTAGCTTACAGTGCCGGCTAGCATTGCTGCTTGCAGCACTGAAAAGCAGAAGTGAGTAGGTGAGTCTCTCCCTGACAGTACATGGCCTTTCTGCCATTAAGAATCACTGAAGTGTCTTCTTTTGATGACACACATCAGCTGAGCACCTTCCAGACTGAACTACGGCACACTTTAGAAATCTGACCACCACCACTTGTTCCGCACCCACGCCCACTGGTGTGTGGACATGCTCTCACACACCAGATCCCCAGCTTTGAGTAAATAGCCCCATTACCTTGTGGCTGTCCTGGTACAGACAAATGCCAGCAGAGTAAACCTGAATAGTGGAGCTCCAGAGATGGTTGGCTGGTCTGCTTGCCACCTGCTGCCAGGTCCTGCATTCAGGCCCATATCTTGACTTTCACTCTCGTATGTTTTAAGAACAAAATAAAAGGAATTTATCAGCTAGAAGATGAATGTGTTTGTTTTACTGTGTTTCAGATGAGGATGAAGAGAACCAGGACACGGTGGAGCAGATCCTTAAATGTATCATACAAAATGAAGGTGACAGA